AATTCCTCTTCCAGAAATGTCTGACTAGATCCCTACTAAAATTCAAAATATTTTGTCTTTCAAACTTCTAATTACAACTTTGCCAAACTCTCTCTCTATCTCATATTACAGCTCTCTTCTATCCAGCCTACACTAGCTGTTTCCAATTTCACATCGATCTTCACTTCAACACCTAACTGTATATAAAAGAAAACTAGCAGACTATTATACTATTACTCAAATCCCCAATACTTATTTTAAACTCCCACCTCTCAAAAAGCCCCTTTCTACAATCTATCAAGAACTTAATCTAGTAGTTCAAAAATACTTCCCATTTAATCAAACAACCTCCATAATCCCACTCACAGAAGTCATTGCTATATTACACATTCAAACTATTGCCTAATAACTTCTTTACTATCAAACTCCTCCTACCCAAAGAAACTAGCAAGATTAAAACTACTACAACATTTATCTTCCCTATTACCAATAATGCAGATGCAAAAAAAATTGTTAAGCAGGCATCTATCTACTACAAAATTCAGTACTCTCTTTTCCTGAGATTATACAGACAAACCCTACAGACAAGCCCCTCTTCTTGTAGCAGAGAAAAACCTAAAAACCTTAATATTTCCTTATTAATTACTATATTACAATAGCTCTTAGCTACTGTAAAACTACTATATAGTTACTATTATTTACTTAGCTCCTTACAGGCTAGATCCAAATAGACAACACTATTTCTCAAAATAATGCCAAAGCAACCACTTGGCCAAATTTTCCTAATATCCTGAATGATATTGAAAAAATCATTAAAGATCTTTCTAAACATGAAGTTATTATCTCTTTACCAATCCAAAACTAACTTGATATTACACTTACAATTAGGGATAAGAATCAGCTATATGGTTTAGTCGACTAAATCGACTAAACATAGTAATTTACATATAAATTTTTTAGTCAACTAAATCAATTCCTATCCCTACCTACAATAAAAGAGCTTAGACAGTACTATACTATCAAAATGATCTCTGACTCCTTATTAAAACTTCTACTACTCTCCACCCCAAGTGGAGTATATTCGATAATATAACTACATAGTATTTCAACACCTCTAGCACTATACAATCCTTTATGAGTATCATCTCAGCAATAGAGAAAGCATCTTTCACACTACTACCTATCCCAAATACAGACACTACTATGGATACAACAATTCTAACAACTACAAAGCCCACTAATATTACTATTACAACAACCTCAAATACTATATTTGACAACACCAATCTACAAACAGAGCAACCCAATATTGACAATAATCTATTAAACAACCAATAGATACTAATGAACACTCCTATGAGTAATAGCAATAATTCACTAATAGATACAAATATAAATACTCTAAACCCTCTTACACTCTCTATTTGCATACACAATTTACAAGGCTTCAACACAAATACCAAAAAAGAAACTTGAGAGCCTTACTGCCTGCAACATAATTTAGATATTATTAGTATTACAAAAACTACAAAAACTATACAAAACTAACTACTATATATACTTCTGGGCATATACAAACAGTGCTAGAGCAAGAATAGCTATTATGATTTGCAATAACCTAACTCCCCACATTCACAACTTTAAAATACTCTCTGGCTATGCAATTGTGATTAACCTCTTCTACAAAAACAATTTTAAATTTTGTATTATCTCTCTGTATCTATCAAGCAATGATGCACATCTCAAACTTCTGGCTCAGAATACTATAATATAATAGATACAGCAAGCCAGTATACAAGGCATTCTCTTAATCACTTTTGGTAATTTCAATGTCTCAATGAACAATATATACTCACAATTCATCAAGTACAAACTTCTTCAATATCTAATATATAATAATATGTACAACCTAGCAACATACTTACAAAAAGCAGCACCTACCTAACAAAGGGCTAATCTTAACAGTAAAATAGACTATATCTGGGTATACTAGCCTATCCTCTAATATCTCATAGACTATGATACTGATGATCCTAGCATCAATACACAAAGTAATTACAAAATTTGAATATCTCATTAGCTCTTTTCTTATGCGACTACAGGCCAACCAAGCCACAAAACATGAACAAAATGAAGAGTATTCAACTACAAAGTAATAGATCAGAAAAAACAGGAACACTTTAGTAATCAAGTTAGCACAATCTAGACCTATACCACACACCTCTAACAATCTCTACTTCTGAGTTACTTGAAACAACATGGTATAAAATACAAACTAGCCTTATTATAGCAGCACTTTAGCATATCTCTAACAAAAAATTCACAGTCTGTAACTTCTATCATACCTTTTTATTCAAAGTCTTCATACTTCACCATGGCCTTAAAAAGCTTAGCAATACAATAAGACAAGTAAAACACTATACCAAATACAACTAGCAAATTCTAGTTAATTTAAATACAACAATAACTCAACTTAACTAATTACACAATCTACAAATATTACAGCTACCTTATAACCTCTAATATATCTCTAATTGGCTAACTGAAACAAATATAAAGTGGAAAAAGCTATACTTTACTCATAATTTAGAAAACATAAAACAGATAAAACAACAAATTAATGAAGCAATCTCCAAGAGATGTACCAAACTTCAGTCTAACCTGACCACTATGCTCAACAGTATTCTAAACAGACACAAAGATCCTGTAAAATTTGAAAACATTAAACTAAACCAAGAGGTTATTACAAACTCTGCCACAATTAAATCTTATATCCATCAACACTTTGAAGGCTGGACAGCTACTTGACCTATCAACCAAAATGTATTTGATACACTCTGACAAGCTGAATACAATTCAAAATCACATATCCAACCAGCATGATATACAGATACACTCTAGCACTTTTCCCAAGAAGAAATACTTTCCACTCTTAGTTCATTATCTAATAATAAGGCCTGTGGCCCCTTTGTAATAAGCTATAAAATGTTTAAACATGCAGGCTTAAGCTTTATACAAGCCATAACAGTTCTTCTTAACCAATATCTCATTTCACATACAATTCTGAAACAATGAAAAGAAGGAAAAATTTACCCAATTTCTAAAAAACCAATCTTTGATAGCAACCTTACTAACACTAGACCCATAAGCCTCCTTGAACATATTAAAAAACTCTATGCTAAACTCTTAACAAACTGCTTAAATAATATTCTATCCAAACATGAAATTCGATTACCTTTAACTATGTAGCACTTTTTAGCAACTCAACTTTAATTCTCATTCATATCCTGAACAATATTATAGAAGATGCAATATGCAATCCCAACTAACTCTGGATCCTATCCCAAGATATAAGCAAGATCAATGACTTGGTTAATCTTGACTTATTTTAAAAATCACTACATAGAATCTGTATGCCCCAACTATTAATTAATATTCTTATCAATCTTCTCTCAGATTACACTAATAGAGTTATAACAAACATGTGCCTTACTAACCACTACCTTGTTTAGAATAAAATAAACCAAGGAGAAACAATTACTCTATTATTTTGAAGAATATACTATAACCCACTTATTACAAGCATATCTCTACATTTATCTAAATATACTATGCATAAATTATAGCAAAGTAGTTTTATCTTACTATTAACCAAACAAGTGACCTGCTCTGTTTCAGTACTTGCCTATATGGATGATATCCTTTGAATAGCACAATCTAAGAAAAACCTAGAGAGAATTACACAAACAGTATTTACATTCTACAAAATGGCTAATATTCAAATCAACCTAATTAAGTCAGTCTTTATATCTAAGCAGCTATTAGCAAACACTTCTTTTTTACAGACAAACTTTGTCTCAATTCCAGTAAACTAGCCATTCAAGTTTCTTGTATGCTAGTTTACCTTTAATAACAAATATATACAACAGATTAAACTTATTTAAAAAGAGGCTATTAACTTAGCACAAATAGCCAATACCAAGAAAATAACAGAGAAACAAATAGCTTATACTATTAATGCTATTATTATTCCAACAATTAAATTCAGACTTCACAATATTGTTATTTTACAATCTACATGCTTAAAAATTCTCAGAAAATATCTTACTATTGCAAAACATAAAGCTTATCTTTCCCACTCTATCCCTAACAATATATTACTTAATCATAATATTTATAATATCCACAATATTTGGGATATTTAGCTTCAACACCACACTAATAACTTTCTTCTTAGAATTAACAATAGCTCTACACTAGGTACTACTACCCATATCAGACTTCAGCAACTACAAAACAACCTCTGGTCAGCTACTAATATACTACAATACCTACTACCAATTATAGATAGCTCTAATTGACACACTATTACAAATAAAATAATTCAACTAATTTGAAAAGCTGGTATCAGTATTGTAGCCAATTCTAATATTACATGGTCTCAAGTAATCCAGGATAGCAACACACCTCTAGAGCTAATATTAAATACTGACATCAAATACAAGACATTCAAATAGCAGTGTGTTATATGTTTTTTAATACTTTATATAATCATTAGATAGCAGTACTTATATAACTAGTGATCAAGTACATGTTGATCAGTGATCTAATTAATATATAATATATCAGGTGATTACAATTTAATTAAAAGTCTAAAATAGTGATTGCATAAGCAATGTAGTAATTAATTATTAGTGATTAGTATCAATATATAAAGCATTGATCCAAATAGGAAAAATGTCTAGCTTTGATTCTTAGTGAATAAACTGTGTTATTTATGTAGATACATTATCAGTGGAATACCTGTATAATACTCTAGTCATCATAAATAAAAGCCAAGTGAATAAAGACTGATAGAAAAGTCAAGTAATACATATAGTGTTGATAAACTATATGATACAAATAATCTGGGTAAGACAAAAGTCTTGCAAAGTGAAAGGATAAAAGCTGTGTTTGCTAAAAGTCATTGTAATTGAGTACTCTGGTGGCAACTATAAAGTTTAAAGCTCTTGATAAACATCATGAGAAAAAAAAAAAAATATCAGACATTGTTAGTAAAGGTTGTATTGAATAAGAACATTGAAAAAAATAGTTGACTTATATAAATGACTATAAAAGCTACTAATCTTCAAGTACCATATTATTAGGGTCATTGTGAAGAAAGTATGAACAATTTTTTGTTCAACTTCAAAGCCTATGCTGTATCCAAAGGATAGAATAATTCTTGCATGAAGTTGGTTGTAAGTCGACAAGTTGCTAAACAACTAAGGCAATAGATTAGAGATATAAAAAGGACAACTAAAAGTTAAAACAAATTAAAGTTTAATATAAAAAAGTATACAATGTGGACATAGAGTTAATCAAGTTAATGAATATTAAACAAAACAAAGATGAATTGATTGTATGTTATACTAACTAGTTCGAGGCTTAAGCATTGATGATGAAAAGTTATGTTCACAAAGAAGCTAAAATAAAAAGATGGTACACAAAAGGCTTAAATAAAAGATATCATATAAAGGTAAATCACAATTGTTCCAAAACATATAAGGATGCAAAGAATTGTACTCTAAAAGTTGAAGCTTATATTAAGGAGAATAAATATGATAAAAAAAAGGTATTCAAAGTGTTAAACTATAATTTAGATAAACCTAGCGAATTATCTTCAAATGGTGAATCATGTTGAATGAAGAATGAATTGAACAAATTATTAACAGAGATAATGAGTCCTGTAAAAGAAGTCATGGAGAATATTAATTTGTTGGCAAGTAAGGCTGTAAAAAGCCAATATGGAGTCCAAAAGTATCATACTTACCAATGCAAATATCAATGTCTGAGAGTATATTATGAATATCATCATATAGATCATAAAGCATATAATGTCCAAATGAAAGAAGAAAGGTTTTGGAACCCAAATCATTTCTATACAATATGTTACATCATAAAAAAGCATCATTGAAGTTAGAAATAAAAGAGATAAACATAAAGCTGTCATTAATTATAACAATTTAGCAGATATGAATAATGACACATTCAATTATTGGCGAAGCCCTGCACTTAGACATTGTTATCAACAAGATATTGAAGTTGAAGTAAATAAAAATAAAGCACTTATATGTCATCAAAAGGCTATAAAAATAAAGAAGACAAGTGGAAAATGATTAGTGACAAAGCTAAGATTTATTATGATGAAAAAGCTGATATAATTAATAAGAGCAATAATCATAAGAAGAAAAATAGAGATAGTATTAAGATTATTAATAAAACAGAATCTATTAAACAAACCAATGAAATATCTAATACTAATGAAACTTATAAGGTTTATTGCCATAATGAAAATAGAATTAGAGTTAAAGGAGATATTAAATTATTAAATGATATCGAACCAACAAAATAGTAATTGAAATCTTCTGAAAATAGAGGTTCAGATGAATATTATAATCTAGAATTATGCTATCAAAATAGCATGCACACAGCCAAAGATAAAATAATAGTATTTGACTGGAATAAAAAGTCTGCTAAAATAGAATTGAATGCTAAAGGTGATGAACATGAAGCATTTGCTCAGTATTAAAGATCTGATGATATGAGTAATAATAATAAAATGAATAATATTAAACAACTATACAAAAATGATGAAGCAATGGTATTGATCAAAGCACTACTAAAAATAATTATAAAAATAGATGTGATAATAAGAGGTTTGTTGGATGTGTTAAGAGAATAAGGAAAGTAGATAATGCTGTTGAAACATTGTGATGTTGGGATTTGGTAAGTTTGTATAGAACAATTATTAGTATAATAATGATAATATTTTGAACATTTTATGTAATATAAATTGTGCAAGTGAATTTGTTGATATTAAGACTTCGGGAACAAAGTCATTAGGGTTCTAACTCATGTATTATATATTTTTTAATACCCTATGTAATTGTTGGATAGCAGCACCCATATACTGTTGAACCTCCCAAAATCGATCCTCTCAAAATCGATAACCTGTCAAATCTGATAAAAAATTAGTCTACCAAGTCCGTTTCCGTTATATAAATCTAATAGTTTATAATGATTTCAAATCTGATAACCTCTCAATACCGATACAAAATCTGTCCACCATGCGTACTGGGTTTGGGAGGTTCAACAGTAACTAGTAATCAGGTATGTATTGATTAGTGATTTAATTAATGTATAATATATCAGGTAATTATAATTTAATTAAAAGTCTAAAATTGTAATTGCATGAACAATGTAATAATTAATCATTAGTAATTAGGATCAATATATAAGGTATCGATCCAAATAGAGAAAATGCCTACCTTTGATTCTTAGTAAATAAACTATATTATCTGTGTAGATATATTATCAGTAGAGTATCTGTATGATACTCCAGTTATCATAAATAAAAGCCAAGTGAATAAAGACTGATAGGAAAGTTAAGTAATATATATAGTGTTGATAAACTACATGATAGTAGCTCTGCCATAAATGTATTCTCTACCTAGAACAACTCTGCTTAGCTAATAATGAGCACCTACTGGAATAGTAACACATCTTACCAAGACTTTTATGCTTGCCAAAGGAGAAAAAACCACAATAGCTTGCTTTGCTTGAAGAGACAATAATAGACAACCCAATTCACAGATTCCTACTACCACATTACTAACCAACAGGCAACAACCTCTTTGTATACTAATCAAAAACTATTCCTAAAAAACTTAAACTATAGATTTTATATATCATCAAGAAGAAATCATTATCAGACAAATAAGAAAAAGATTCAACTAAACAACAAAGTATCTATTACACACTGGCAAAATGACATTAATATACAACATTATTTACATACCCTCTACCACCTATTACATGCATACTATGTATAGGCTATAGCCTAAACACAAACCATTTAACCAACTACTGCATTATCGAAGTGTCTACAATTTTATCTATGCAGTTTTTAGACAGAAAACAGCAAACAAACAACTCAAACTAAATACCAATTACATTGATCTCCTGTACTCTACAGCAATCAAACACCCCTTTGTAATTTCATCTCTACCTAATATCAATATTATAGACTCTCTAGCTTTTACTCTCTTTTATAATAATGAAGCATGCCAAATATTTATACAAAACATCTTCAACAACCTAAACATACAGACATTCACCTTCTATACAGACAGCTCAGTAGTAAAAATAGGCACTACCAACTGCTCTATAGGAATAGGCTAAGTTCAAATACACAACAACCAAATTATCAACAGTTTTGTAGCTAAAGTTATAAACTGGCTATTAGGGTTCTGCAATTTGATTTGATTTGATTTGATCAAATATTTGAACTCAAATCAAATTCAAATATAGAAATTTCAAATCAAATCAAATTCAAATATTGTTATATTTGATTTGATTTGACAAATATTTGATTTGATTTAAAAAACTATTATTAAAATTCAAATACAAATCAAATTCAAATCCAAGTTTTTAAAATTAAATCAAATTCAAATCAAAACAAATTTGATTTGATCAAATTCAAATTGGCCTAATATTTGATTTGATTTGAGTTTGAGGAACCCTACTAGCCATCCTCATACAAAGCTGAGCTTATAGCTATCCTATCAGCCATCTCTATAGTACTATGCAACTGCAAGGTTAACAATTTCACAAACTCACAATCCATTATCTTTAAACATACCAAACTACTAAACACTTCTACAAAATCTTCAAAGTATTTTAAATTCAAATACTAGCCTATTTGGCACTCTTTTTTTATTGCTATCAGGTTCTTCAACATATAGTTTACTTTTTACAGGTTCAAGCACATTCAAATGACCTATTTAACAATGATTTAGCCTTTCTGTAATACTGTTAAAAGTATCTACTATCTTCTTACTTGGGTCTTCCCAAATGGGTTTTAATCATCCCAGTTTCTTGGCATTTCTATGCCAAAGCTTCTATAACAAGATGGTATAACCAAGATTACAGATTGTAGATCTAACTGATCAATAGATAATCATTACCTAATGCAAATCTATTTTTCAAAAAACATTATTCATGAGATTTAAACCCTAGACCAGCTGCTTGGTGAGGTAACAACTAAACCACTTCACTAATAATCAAACTCCTACAACTAAACCATCATATAGCCAAGTCACTAAAACCAATCTTAAGCTACTGGCTACTGAT